ACAGATTTCGACAATGTTCTAAGAATACTTTCAGTACCCCTTACGAGAGGTATAACATACGATTCCCAAACTGTATCAACCTTAATGATTGGACGTGTGGTAGTTATCACACTATTAGGTTGGCCTAATATTTCTGGCTTGATTTCTGATTTACTTAGCAGTTCAGAGTCAACAGGATTTATCGCATTTGTAACATTTGAGATACCATTCGCATTCGGCTTAGCTTCAAACTGGCCAGAGTTGCTCTCGTCGCCGAATTCAAGGTCCAAGTTAATTTCGGAACCTGCCTCATCCAAAATGCCCTCGAAGTCCTTAAAGTTCTTGGCAGGAACAAAATTATCGCGGAACGGCGAAACCGTCTGAGTCACAGTTACAAAGCTTGTATAATCGTAAGTTTGCACTAAAGTTATATGCGACGTCTCGTTCAGCTTATCATTAATGATTGGCAAAATTTGAGTCTTCAGTTTGGTTTGGGTGAATGAAAACGATTCCGTTATTGTCTCAAGTTCCGGTGTTTCAAGGCTATCTGTATAATGAATAGGCTTCAAGGTGGTAACAATTCCATCCATTGATGGCTTAACCATTTGAGTTGTAGACTCCAAAATGTTTTCAGTTAAAGGTCCATCGTGTTCCGAATACTCCTCACTATGATCAGTTTTAAGTGTTTTCTCGAACGTTGAAGTTACAGTGACGAATCGTGTTTTTTTCACAAGCCCGGCCTGTAGAAAACAAAGAAACAGAATTTTTAATTAATTGAGAATAGAAATAAAAGAAAAAAAAATATATATAAAAACAGGTACATTTATATGTTTTTAGAAAAACTCTAAATATATATTTATAGCAAGCGTATACTTTCCTGAAAAATGTATGGACTTTTGATGGTGGCAATTTCATAGTAGGTATCTTCAAAGTTGCTCGGCGTTGAGATTTCGACATTCAAAGTTTGCACGAAATTATTGGGCTTTATCACATCGTTGTCGGCCACAATTGTGTTTTGTGAGCCAACAGCATCCAAATCTCTGTTGAGGTCAATGGTCTTTTGAATTTGCGGATTGTTTTCAACTGTTTCCACGAGCGGATCAATTTCTTTGAGAGCCTCTGTTTGCAGTTCACTTCTGGCCACATTCGGAGAGCTTTTTCTGATATTCACTTTTGGCTTTGGGGATGATTTATATTGCCAGCGGCCTGGACGACGATTCAGCTTCAATGTATTCGGACTGAAGCTTGTTACGTTATTATCTTCAGATATCAGATTCGTTTTGGTTCTATATGAGCGACGTGAACTTGTCTCCACCTGGGACGGGGTGACTTGAATCACAGACGACTGTGTTGACTTATTCCGCCTAAAAAGAAGAAATGAAATTGTTGTTAGTACAAATATTAAATGTAACAAAGATCCTATGATCCTATATGATGATAATATGTAGTATAATATATAATAGTACATAGATATTTACCTCTTGCCCTTATTCCTCGATGATTTTCTTTTTTCTCCTGAAGGCCGACTATTTTTTCGAGTACTCTTGGTAGTCACATGGTTAGATTCGACGGGCGTCTTGTAATTTGGCAGAGATGGCGTCACTGTCTTCAATACTCGAGCTGTAGTTGTCGAAGTGTGGCGAGGTTTGCTTCTTCGTTCAGTGCTCGAAATTACCTGATGAATTTGTGAAGTTTTGCCCAAAGTTTTGGCAGTTATGATTGCCGTTTCCTTTGATGGGGTATTTGAGTTTCGACTTAGGGTATCCTTTTTCCTTTGCAGCAAGCCCGTTGAGCTGCCGTAATTGTTGTTGCGCTTAGAATGATCGGCACGTGTATTCAAATTAACCAAGCGAAATGTTTCTTCGGCGAACTCCTCCGGCTGTCGCGAAAGCAAAGCATACTCAGAGAAATCCACAGACTTGATTGGCGTATTCAGCAAACTAATGCTGCTTATAGCAATCGTAGAATTCGCTGTCGGTTGCTCATTTAGACTTGAGCTCAATAGCGGAGTTGGATTTATGCCATTTTTACTATCTTTAGTTTCCGGCACGTGCGGCTTGGTGTCAATAATATCCACAGGCTTAGCAGGTTTCTGAGGTGTTAAATCTGAAAGGGAATTGAATGAGGAAATTTAGTAAATCTTCTTGAAACTGATTTCTAATTCTACTTTCAGTTATTTTTTAGCTTTATTCCTAAAAACTTACCAATTAGAGGAGAGCTTTGAGGCGAGAAGACCATAACAGTATTGCCAATAGTTGTTGTAAAATCCAAAAAGCCATAAACAGTTTGTGTTAATTTTGGGACATCAGAACAGGTAGCTGTAACGGAAAATAATTTTATTATAAATATTAATTCTGCCCACAAATATGAAACAATTTACTGACCATAGTTCGCAAGCAAAATAAGAAATAAAAGATAAGTCATTTTGATGCATTTATTCCGCTAGGACGCGGCTCATTGGTTAATGCTCGTATCTGAAAAAGTTTTAAAATACGTCAAATTAAATCTTTATTATTACGTTTTTATTACTTTATTTTATTATTATTTTTAAAAATATATTATTATATTATTTTTAAATATATAAATATGTATACCCTTCTTAAATATCCAAGTTTATCATCTGGAATTTTACTCAAAACTAAAGAGGCATCCGAAAAAGGCGAAAAGACCTAATTAAATATCTTGTTTCCCAGAAGAAAAATCGTCTATCACTGATCAACAAACTTTGCCCTTACAGTCTCTTGTACATTCTGTTACTACGGGTGATAGGATCTATTATTGCATCCATGCACCGTCTTCTCCATTAAGTGGACCGCAAATCCTTATCAGAGAAAGTTGATTTCCTGTTTGTCTCTTGCCTAGGGCCTTCTCGGTCGACTGCAATTTGATAATATAAGTTTTTCCTGTTATTATTTACGATGGCATTAATGACACTATATTCTGTTAAATGGATCCAAACAATATTTCCCTACAGCATATTTTTGATGGTAAGATAGAGTGAAAGGAAATAATTTGGGATTTGGTTGTAGAAATCTAACAAAATTATTTATTTTTTATTTGAAAGCCATGCGTAAAACCATGCACACGTTCTTAATCCACTTTTATAATCTTTTAAGTAGTAGTTATTTTTAATAACAAAGAAATATACGTTTTTCCTAAGGCTAGAAATAAAATGGCAACCTTCACAAAACCTGATTTTAAGCCAAACAATGCGGGTGGTACTTAAGGCATGGCTAGTTGCAAACAATATTCCACAATTGTAAAGCTGGCGTCATATAATTGTTGAGGCAAACCTCTGGCACGCCTCATTATAACTCACTTTAAGACTGTTCGGTCAAACGAGCAACAAAAACTTGAAATTCGAAATAAACAAAAACCACACACGC